GAACAAAATAATGTGCATTATACATGACACAGCCCACTTCATCAACCCTCTCATGCCATCAGATGTGTTCATTGTCATATGTCAAAAAAATGTAATTAATGTTCATGACATGTGGCATGGTATGAAATTGAAGATTTCCATAATTATCAGAGAGGATTATACATCTTGTCTTAAGCTTAACAACCAATTCCCCAGAGCAACTGCTTTTATCATGTTTTAGCCGGCACACATTTTTGGCAAGGAGATTGTAATTGGAGGTCTTGGAGTTTCCCCTGATATTTTAAGAAATGTAAAACACAGCTAAAGGATGAAACAAGGTCTATATACTTTATTTGAATTAATCGAAGAGTCTGGTATTTTCTTTTGGTTATGTAATCTTATTTTTAGTAATTTTAGTTTACATATGATGCTCTGAGTTTCATTTCACGGAAAAATGAAAATCCAGTCCTTTCCGATAACAAAAAAAGCATATCACTAAATACATAACTGAAACAGGATATTACAAAACTCATCTATGACTCCACAAAATGCATCAGAGTAATAAAGCATAAGTAAATTGCTATTGTAATGTGAAACATGATGAATTTTAGAGCTGCTCAACACCAATGTCTTGGGTTCGATTCCCGAGGAATGCATGCATTGATAATATGTATATTTTGAATCCAATTATGCATTTGGCAAATGCTTTTATCCAAAGCAACTATGTTTTATCAGTCCATGCATTCCCTGGGAATCAAACCCATGACCTGTTTGAGCTACAGAAATGCATATGCATTTATTTAAATCTCTTTTACAGCAAAGTCCCGGCCAAGATAGTCCTCCCGGATGTACAAAAACACACAACAAACAACAGCGTCCTATAAAATATCAATAAAAAACCGCCTTTTTCACTAAATCTTTCTTTAGTGCATGCATAAGTGTTTTAATATTACTAAAAGACACCAAATGATTAAGCCTCTTCAATTAATTTGAAGAGATTTCCTTTCCGAAGGGGCTAAAGGCATTTTACCTAATTTAGTTCTTGCAGGAGGTACATATTATAATATGATTGTAAATGCATTACCATCTGCACAACAGAGATAAGGTGGTAAAAAAAAAACCCAGATATTGCTTAAGTACCAATACATTTTCCTTTGAACAGCAGGAGAAGACCAAGCAACTCAATGT